ATATCCCTGATGAACTCATGTTAAGGACTGTGTGTGAACTGGTGTCGCTTTAGTCCAGTATTTCTTTAACCTTTTTTTGATATCAGAGACCACTCATTATATGCATAAGTTGTCGCAGACCATTACAATGCGAATACAACGAAAAACCATTACGATTTACATTGCACGGACTAACTAGGTGTTTGTGACTGATTGGCGCCGGTTCACAGATTGATCGTTGAGATTAGTGTTGTCAATAGGATACTTGTATTTATTATTGACTAGCTGTAGTACCCAGCCGTTGAAAAGGTGAAATAAAAACTCGTTTTTACAAAGCATAGGAAATTGTGCTTCTATTTTTCTTCCTAATATAATAAATATTAAATATGCAATAAAAATATATAAATTTTTAAAAGAAAGACATACTGTTTTCAAGAACTCTAACATTAGTGGTCGCCCTCCAGTGGCACAGCGGTATGTGGTAACTTATAAGGAACAGATACACACACATATTGAAGTTTATGAACATAGATTATTTGTTTCCAGATTACACTTGTTAAGGGTAATGCAAATATTAAGTGCTCATAGTTTGTTAATTGCGATTCGAACAAGAAGTGGGCATTATTTGGGAATTTGGAGCCGACATGCACACTCAAGAAAGCTAGTAGTAAAGTTTTACAGTTTCTATGTACAATATGTAAGTGTAAGTTGGAGAATAAATTTGATGCTGTCCTAAATAGGTAAGTGGTTATGGACAAAGAGAAGAATAAACTGTGAAGAATGACAGCAGTATTTAAAGGGGAAATTGCGTTTTTGCATGCAAATGATACATTGGCTAATAATGACTTTTAGGTAGTTAAAAACTATACTACTAGCCCTAGTAGTAGTAGATTTAACTATAATGAACAGGTTAATTAAATAAAATACTTGCCTAAACAATGAGCTTAGGGAGGGATAACAAAATGGACAAATATGGATGGGAGTGAAAAACATAAGGATGTTATTGTTATAGAAGATTCTTTATTATAGCATGCGGATAGGATATTCTGTGGGCAAAGAGGGAGAAAATGATTAGATTATGTTATCCAAAGGGAAGGATGGAGGGTAAAACCAACAGAGCAAGTGATATAATAAAATATACTAGGCAATCTCTGTAGTACACACAGAGGTTAATGTTGTAAAGAAGAGTAGGGCAGATGAGCTTATTGTTAAGTGCAAGGCATTAATAAAGGCATTCGAAAAAAGTCCATAATAAGTTAATTCTGTTGTGGATACTTCTAAGACTTAACTTCAGAGATGAAATTAAGTGTAGGTCACTAGGGCTTAATGTTCAGCTTAGGTTGTTATATAAGGAAGATTAGGTTGGCTAGTTGTATTTTTGAAATCAATTCAGTGGGAAAGGGGATGGTTTACATTTAAATAGGAGATGGGCTGGCTAGTTTGCAGGGTTATTAACTCAACTGTAATAGCAATTTAAACTAGGATTAGAAGTGGAGAGGGCCTGAATAATTAAGATAAGAATAAGATGTGGAGCGGAGTATAGTGTGGAAACAAGTTATAGAAGCAGTTTTAATGGTAGGCTAAACTGTTGTTATTGCAATTCTAGAAATATACGAAATTAGATGGGTGAATTTAAAGCTTTGGTCAAAGGAGAGGATTCTAAATTAATGGGAATAACTGAAACCATTATAAATATAAAAAAGTGCAAAATTGTCAGGATAAAGTCAAAAATTACATTTCAGGCTACTTTCAAAGAAAAATGGAAGGTAAATCACAAGTGAAACATCAAAATCTTTTAATTTTCATATTTAATACTACAGAAACTCATTGAATTTAAGCATTGTTGCAACATATTTAATCAAATATGTCCTTTGTTTAAATGTCCTTTGGGATTTTATTTCAAATGTCTCTAACACACTCCCATAAAGTTTCTTTGGAAGCAACTGTTGATTTGTCAAGTTTTGATCTATCAACTCTCAGATCTGTTCAATTGGGTTGAGATCGGGGCTCTATGGGGTCCATTGCATCATTTGAATGACTCCAGCAGCTTCTTTCTTAGCTACATTGTTTCTGCTTAGGTTGGATGAATGTTTGGGATCATTATCTTCTTTGCAGTAGAATCCTTTATCAATAATACGCAAATCATTGGGTATACCATGACGGATCAGTATCTGGTGGTACTTGCTCTGGTCCATTATTCCATCTATTTTGCAAATTTCTCCTGTTGCCTCAGCAGAAAAACACCCAAACCATCACACTACCTCCCCCATGCTTCATGGTAGGTGCCATGCATTGACGTAAGTATCTTTCGCCTTTCTTTCGCCGAACGTACAACATCAGTATCATTGACTTTAGGTGTTCTGCCTCTTTCTTTCCTATTTTCAAATTTATCTGTCTCGGTCTCACGATCTATGGTATACTTGACAGTGTTTGGGGAGTATTTCAAATCTGCATCACTTTGTCGGAGAGTCCAACCAGCATCACGTAAAGCTTTTATGCAAACCTTCTTTTTTACTGACAATTCTCTACGCTTTTTGGGCCGTGGCACGACAACAAAACTTAATATATAGGGTTAAATATTGTTCTATCAAGGTTTATTTGTGGAGTGCTATTAAATTGATTTCTTCTAGCATATACCAGTATCAGTTGCTAGCTTCTTTCGATATAGTTAAGACACTGCATGGGGTGCCATAACAGTTAATTCAGACCCTAAATTTGATCAGTATGTTCATTCAAGCAGAACCCTTATGACATGTCCTTGGTACAAGTAAATGGGAATTCTAAAGAATGATAAGTATTCTCACCCTGGCTCATTCAACTGTCAACAGGGATCAGTGAAGCATTACCACAGTGTTGAAATTTACATTCTGTAATGGCATGGAAGAATTAGCCCCATAGAATGAAAAAAAAATGACAAAACATTCTCTTGTCCTAACACTTTTGCACAATGCTGTAGATGAAGGAATGATCAATAGTTTATTAACATTTGCTGATGAGTATAAATTTGGTGGGAATAATATTAAAAGTGCTATGAAAGAAAAATGATCGTGGTGTTCTTAAGCCATTCAAGTAATGTGCTGCTGCTAGAGGCAGGATAAATAGGAAATATTGAACACAAAGAGTTAATAGTGTTATTCGTTAGGCCACAGTTGGAGTACCGTTTTCAGTCTTAGGTTCCTTACGTTGAAAGAGCATCGAATTGTTGTAAAATAATCAGAGGAGAGGTACTGTGAAGATGCCTGAGATGTAAAAGTTGTCAAGTGAGAATATGTTAAGATAGCTGAACTTTTTTCTTTTGAAAGGGAAAGCTAAATAAATATTTGAATAATAAGGGCTGGCTTTGAGGTTTTAGTGTTTAGTTTAATCTAGTGGATAGGTTGGCCTAGATGGACCAAACGGTCTCCATTGTCTTCCTTTAATGTTACGTTATATATCAATAACGCATCATTACATCCCAATATTCGGTCAGATAAAAGCTGAAAGTGGTGCTATTAGTTAGATGCCTTCCCCTCTAGTTAATTAGTTCATAGTTTACAGGCAGCTCTAGGCAAAAACTATAACCAAATCAAAATTTTTATTACTTTTTTCTTTAATTTCGAGAAAATTATACTTTCCTTTATTTGTTTCCAGATAGTCTTAGTTTTTTCATGTCTAACTTTATTTGGTTTGTTTCCAGATCTCCTACAACATGGAACGAAAAAATATACCTTCCTTCAGACGGTATGTTGAGTACAGAAAACTATCAGACGTTCCCTCGCATTTTCCATTCTATACAGCTTATATTGAGGTAAACTGAGTTAAATTCATATTGTTATTACATATGCTTTACAGTGATCTTGTGTATGAACATGAGCATCTCCAAAACTTGTGATATTCTCCGAAATACCCACAATACTTCCACGCCTGTGATAAACATAACTCTACTGTTGAGCATGGAAAAGATGCTACCATGTACTGATGAGTCTCCTTCTCAGTTTTGTGCTTGTGCTGTGTTGCCAATTTCAACTCTATGTCAAGTCCGCTGACAATTCACAATTCATTTCTTATTTATATTTAAAAATTATAATCAGTGTTATAATTATTAAAAAAACTTAAAGCTTTTCTACGAAATTGAGTTCTAATGTTACTTCAGAAGTAGAACAAATAGGCTGTTCAGATAATAATTGTTCAGAATGTAGAAAATAATCTACAGATTTTGTTAGGTTTACTAAATTTTGAACCAAAAGCAAGGAATATTTATTCAATCTCAGTTAAAACATAAGCTTAAAGATTAAATATTACAGCATCCGTTTGTTCTTTAAACGAATCTTTAACCTGATATCATTTTAAATTAATTAATTTAATCAAAGGGTTTTCCTTCAAAATTTTATTATTCTGTACTTCTTTTAAAGTTTAAAACAATCTACACTTTTAACTTCTTGTTTCAATAAACCAAAAGCCTCTACAGTCTAACGAATTAAAGATTTAAACAAAATATTATTTCGTTTATTTTAAGAAGTTAACAAATGTTTGTGAACTTTATGATATTGCTTTAAAATATAACATTGAGATATAGAAACTTTGGTAACACATTAAATTGTTTATATCCGTTAAAATATTACGCTACTTATTTTTGAAAATTTTTAAATGTAATTTTTTGCATTCTTAAATAATATCAGCAATAGACTCATTCTTTAGAAACTTCAAATAGTTAATAAATTTTAACACTAAAAACGTTAAATATCGTTGTAAAATGTTATTCTTGTACTAGAAGACTTTACAGAAACTTTATACATAATTTATACTACAATTTAATAAATAGGGTTAGATAAGTTTTTCTGCAAGAAAACTGCTGACACGAATGAAAGAACATTCACATTTAAGAATATCGAATAAATCAAGTACTCTGGAGTACACACTTGGTGTGTGTGAGTAGTCGTCCATTCAAATTATTTCAAGATCTTAATGAAGCCAATGATGCACGAAGATTTCATGTAAAAGAGGACTAGCTCATTCATAAGCACATGCTATAAACTACCCATGTCAGTTCGCCGTATAAATTGCTTACCACGTTTCTTTAGATTACCATGCAAAGTTATTTTCTCTGGTACACATTAGTATCATGTCTATTTAACGGAGAAAAACATTTGTCTTTCCAACAAGAGAACTGATTAAGAAAAACACTGCATCCACTTCCAAATAACAGATTACAGCCCAAACATATAAAACAAGTTTTCCTCATCAAAGGAACAACATAAGTCACATCAGAACACCACAGAACCTTTGGTGAGTACAATTGTCAAACTTAGCAGAATGCCTGGTACTCATATACACCACAAAACACTTGATGAACACACTTTGGACATTGTGTAGCATGCCTGGTTTTCATAGACAATAGAGAACAGATTTGACACTTTGTATTGTTTTGTTTGTTTGTTTTTTGAATTTCGCGCAAAGCTACACGAGGGCTATCTTCCGTCCCTAATATAGCAGTGTAAGACTAGAGGGAAGGCAGCTAGTCATCAGCCAACTCTTGGGCTACTCTTTTACCAACGAATAGTGGGATTGACCGTCACATTATAACGCCCCCACGGCTGAAAGGGTGAGCATGTTTGGTGTGACGGGGATTCGAACCCGCGACCTGCGGATTGCGAGTCGAGTGCCCTAACCACCTGGCCATGCCGGGCCAAACACTTTGTAATCGGTCTGGCCCTCAATACACCTCAAAAACTCTTGGTGAATACAGATTGACACTTTGTAGCATGTCTGTAACTCCTAGACACCACAGATTATTTGGTGAATACAGATTGACACCTTGTAGCATGTCTAGCACTCAAAGACACCACAAAACTCTCGGAAGTACAGTTATGATATTTTGCCGCAAAAATGTTCCCAAACCCGGAAGTAAAATAATATGATTAGCAGTAATAGTGTTGCAGCTAAAATCGAATGTTTTTTCAAATAATTTAATGTTATATGTTTATATTTCTCATACATTTTGTTTTGGGAAGTTTAACAATGTTTGTACACTTCCTTTGTATTTGACGGATCTTAAGAAAATGTGTGAATAGTTTTTCAATGTGAATAACTAAACATTTGAAACATTATTTATAATTATTGCTCAATTCCTGGTAAAGTTTGAGAACATTTTCATAGCCAGTTATGTCATATCAAAGAAGTTTTGTTCATGAAATATTTGCAATCTTTTCTAAGTTTATTTCCACATCTAAAGCCCATTCGTGTTATCTTCTAAAGGAAGGAAAGCCTATTGTATCAAACACATGAAAACCTTGACCGACATGTTTTATCTAAATATAAAAAAAGGTTGAATGTTTTGCATATTAAAAATATATTATCTGTTATCTAGGGTTGGGCTTTATACAGTGAACACTTGGGCAACGAACTTGGACTGTTTGAAGATCCATACTTTCGGTAAGAAGATTATACTTTAAAGCAGGTGTTGGTATTATGTTCTGAAATATGCAAATAAATATTTTAAAATGAGGATCGCATTTCAGGAGATTATTATGTTTGTGACAGACAATTGTAAGCGACACTTTCCACACGACTGCAGAACGAAACTATGAAAAAATCTGAAGTTGTACAATGACTAATTATTTTACAAATTCAATATATAAGTCGCACACAAACAAAGTGTTATATAAAATTTTACGGATCAAAATATATCTGACAAAGAATGTTTATGTAACATTGAAAGGCTTACTAATCTTCTGAAGAACCTATATTTCATGTTTTTACATATTAGAGTATATTTATCAATTAGCGTGTCCATATTTGTTTACACGAGGAATTTTAATATCTAAATGTTCACTTAATCATATATAATCATATATATTAGCGTGTTTGTGTATGTGCATGTGTAATTGCACCTTTGATATAATTGTTGTATTATCTATATACTACTAAAACTCTGAGATTGTTTGTTTGATTGTGTGCTTGTCTGTAATTAAATAGAGCAAAAACGGCGCACAATAGCGCCATATTTGTAATGAAATGAGAATAGAAACAGAATAAAACAAGTTTTGTTAAAACTGGGCCACGTTTTACCGAGTTATCGCCGTTTTTCGGGTCACTTTTCGTACATTCCATTATTATAAAACTTCGTTTTCCACCTGATGAATCACTTTAAAATATCTTCTATATAACAATATATGCACAAAAGAAATGAAATAATGAGAAGAAAATGTGTTATAACGGCAAGTAGAAAGAACAACAATAAAATGGACCTAC